CACAGTTGGGAGGTAACTTTAATTCATAGAGGTTGCATTTCTTGTGAACATCAAAGGTGGAATCAAAGTAAAAGCCTGTTCCATGCCCACGTAAATCAATGCTTACTTGTAGGATCAGGAGCAGTGGGCACGTTCTCATCTTCTTTCCTATCCTCAGGGTCTTCTAAACCACCAGGCCAACTAAGATTACAAGCAGGTTGGCTGCAAACAACGTTATCTTCTAGTCCCCAAGAGGGTACGCTCACAGGTGGCCTTTGGATTTCATCTGGGTAAGAATCTCCATCTGCTTCATGTGTATTAGTATATTTATTCCCCAGTTTGCAAAATTATGTGATTAAAGAAAGCAGGGATTATTGTTACTGCACTGACAATATGTATTACATGTGTGTTATTTAGCAGAATATTTACAAGTTTCTGTTGATCTTACTGGTTGAGCATGACTATTAAATATTATGTGATAAAAAGTTTATCATACAGTCTTGCAAGTAATTCTTTGAATATAGAAACTTGTATAATTTAGCCTATGACATGATGGTTTTTTAACCCATTTTAGAAATGGAGCTACAGAATAAGATCACATGCTTACAGTATAGCAAATATCCTTTTTATACTTGAAACATTTGCTTTAGGCATATTTTGCTAATTTTATAACTAAAATTTTTTAGAATAACCTATTTAAGCCATCTTAAAGTTGTACTTCTAGCTAATGGGAAAATGGAACAAGATATGTGAGTACAATTGTTTAAAATTAAATGATCTACTAAACAGTGGTGTTTGTGGCATAAAATCACAGATGTATCCATATCTTTTTCATATTTTCCTAACAAGAATATAACTTTGAAATAACATTCTCAGTGACTAAAAATGTAATATATAAACCCAAATCAAAGCTATGTGTTTAAGTTATATCTCTGCTGTGTATAGTATTCTCATTGACATTAAAGAGGACACATTTTTGGAGATTAATAAAAATTAAAAAATCAAAAATATTACTAAAAAATACTAAGCTCAACACAAGGTTGCCACAAACCTCCAATTTGTAAAAAAAAAAAAAAAAAGCAATAAAGCAAAGCGTAATAAAATGAGTACTTCCTTATGGATATGGTGAGTGTAATACAAATTAGTACATTATTAAACACTATACTGTCCTTTGAGTTCAAAAAAATGTCTCATACCAAATATTTGTAATCAATTCTGCCTTATTCTTCAAAATGTTTGACATTTAGAAAATGGGTTGTTACTGTTTTTATTTTGAAGTATTTTTCCTGATATGTGGTTGGTAGAATCAATGGCACTCTCATCATCAGATTCGAATTCAGAGTAATTTGGGAAATAGTTCAGTTACATCAAAGTGATAGGTGGCTGAGGTCAGCAGAGCACAGACTGAGACGAACAGCAGAGCCAGAATAGAAAAATAAAATAGCAAACAAAAATCAAGCATATTTTTGGGAAACTCAGAATAAAGAAGATAGCTCAGAAATCCTCTAATCAGTCTTATCTATTTACTGATGAAAAAACTGAAATTCAAAGAAGCTAAATGTCACACACGTCATCAGAAGAACCAAAGTGAAACCTAGATCTCCTACCCTCCCGCCTCCCAATCTTACTCAGTGTTCATTTCCACTAAAATGGAGAAAAGAGCTAGAACACTAGGAGGCTGAAAAGTGACAGGGTTGTTAGAGACAGAAAAAAGATACTGATGTAGAAAGAAATCAAATACCTTAGATAATATAATATATACTAGTCCAGACAATCTTGACAAATCTTGATACATACCACTATTCCAATAAATATGTGATCTTGTCTTTGACCTGACTGAACCTCCACTTCTTTGCTTCTTCAACTCGATCTTATCTCCAAATTCTCCAAACCTAGTATTTTTGCCCAAATTACAAAAAGAAATCTGGTCTCAAGATGCCTTAAGAAATTCCAGGACATGAACAATAGACTAGTGGTTACCAGAGGGTAGGGAAAAGAGGGGAAGGGGGAGATAGATGGAGTAAAAGGGGTTATACATGTGGTGACAGAAAGAAATCTAACTATGGGAGGTGAACACACAATATAAATATATATGCTTTATTGTTAAAATGTACAGCTGCAAGTTACCGGATTTCATTAACCAATGTCACCATAAAAATAATTAATTAACTAAAAAAAACAAACAAAAAAACCTTCTGGCTTCCTCTAAAAACCTAATAATATTTTTAAATAAAGCATAATAATAATAAAATTTAAGCACCAAACATTTGAAAAAACAGTATTTTAGAGCAAGGGCTTGCAAACTACACCCTATATGCCAAATATGGCCCACAGTCTTCTATATGGCACACAAGCTAAGAATGGTTTTTACATTTTTAAATAGTTGTTTAAAAACATACACATACAAAGAATAGGAGACTGAGACCTTCGTGGCCCAGAAAGCCTAAAATACTATCTGTCCTTTACAGAAAAAGTTTGCCAACCCTTGCTTTAGAATATTTACTGAGTATTGGCTTTGTGAACAAAAAACATTTTCTCTTAAACTACAATATTTCAGTCTAAAGAGCATCAAAAAGTTTTAATGTTCAATTGACTTTTAAAACAAAGGACTCTAACCCTGAATAAGCCTGATCCCACCTGATCTCGGAAGCTAAGCAGGGTTGGGCCTGGTTAGTACTTGGATGGGAGACCACTTAGGAAGACCAGGTGCTGTAGGTGTAAAAAATAAAAAAAAAGGGATTGTAAGCTGACAAAGTCCTTGCAAACTGTGAGGTCAACCAAGGGTTGCCTCGCCTAAAAATAACAAAACAAACAAACAAAAACCAAAGGACTCTACTCATACATTAAACATAACTGAAAAAAATTTCAATCCTTAAGGCAAATGCTAAAAAATACATAATTTTTTAAAAAAATTTACTCTTACTTAATTGCTATAACTCCCATCAGCCCATTTCTCCTACTCAATCCTTCATCCAACATATTTTGTATAAACTCAACAGCCTCTGTACAACTGCAGATCCCTCACCTCTTTAGGTATTGCCTTTCAGACACTCAACTCTAAATGAAGATGGTTCAACATATTCTTGACAGCTCTGAATTAAGCCCCTGTTATTTCTGACCTACTAAACTCGATCTCTTCTATTTTTACTTGTTCCATTAGAATTGTTTTAAAAGATAGTATTGATTAGACTATGTTAATATAAATTTATGTGATACTCAAATATTGACATTAAATAAATACACATAATTACAACCTCAAGTAGACTTATTCATTTTCCTCAAGGTTGCTACTCTTCTTTACCCAAGAACTACAGAATTCTAATCAGAAAATAGATGATTATCCCTCATTGTCATTTGTTTGTTGTTATCATCTACCCACATAACCTCTCTTACTTTCTCCTACAAACTAATAAAAAGTTGTCCCTTCTTTTTAGAATCTCTAATATATTAATTTCTCCTCAGCATTTGCACGTTCTTCTTATTTTCTTTTTGGGGTCCTCTGCTAAGACACAAACATGCAGAAATTTTATGTCTCTCAAGTAAAAATTCTGAAATTCTATATCAGATTATTTAGTCAACATCCCTCCTACCAAGTTCATCTATTTAATCATTTAACTTGCCACTGATTATTTCCTCTAGGAGGTCTTTTCAGAAAAAAATTTACCTCTCACTCATTAAAACTCATCAATTCTTTGTTGTTGTTTTGTTTTTTTAAGAGACAGCAATAATCAATAAATTATACATTATCTACAGAAGTTTATATGAGATGTGAAGAAACCCTTACAGTAGCAAATTCAGACGTAAGGTTAAATAACATTATATTAAAAATCTCTCCAAATTAATCTGATGAATATTCAGATAACAGAAATATAAAAGAGACCTTCTATATCTGATTCAATTATCTAGATTATAGTTGATTTAATTATATAAATTAAACTTCAGATTTTGAAAAATTGTTGGATTAGTCAATTTCAGAAGCATCCTGAACTCTTAAGATAGACAGGAAAAAGATAATATGCACATCTTAAAACTTTTTAATCTAGAAGAGTTCTAATCATTTAGGTCTAAAAAAGATTGAATACACCCAAGTTATTCAAATGATGAGTGCTAAAACAGAAAAGCTCCAAAAATCTCTTCTATGAGAAGCAGACAGATCAAAACCTTTATCATTTTAACGTTTTTAAAATTTTTTTTGCAATTATTAATTGGTTTTTCATTGCAACATTATTTAAAATGGCCCCAAAATATAAGAATTAGGAAAGCTATGACATATATATGCAACATTATGCAGCCATTGAAAATGTTTGTGAAGAGCTTATGACATAATGGGACGATGTTTGTTTTAATAGTAAGGTAAAGAACAGAACCCCAAATTCTATACATAATAATCACAGCTACATTTTAAAAACTGCAAGAAAAAAAAATTAGAAAACAATATTATCAAAAGAGTAACAGTGAAAAGCTTGAGTAATAGGGAAAGGGTTTGTTTTTCCATTTTTTTTCCTCTTTTATCTATATACTCATGAACATGACTTTTACAATGGAAAAAGTATAGCCTTAACTTTTTTTAAGTTCTATACAAAGATAATTTAACAAGGTCATTTAGATTAATCTTTCTGTAATTAAAGTATGGTACTACTCTGGTAACAAAAATCCTACTAACAGAAAAAAATGTAAAAAAGTCAACAAGCTATCACGTTTATATTTTTAAAAAGATAAAGAAGTGTGACATTTGGTAAAAGTTGGAAGGGAACAAGACAAATTTTTACCTCAAGGCTTATTATTTTAACATGACAACTGAGTTTTGATGGAAACCATTCAAGTTTACTTCCCTATCAAAATCAGAGAAGATAATCACTCCACAAAAAGGATCAAAAAACACTGATTTTGTAATAATGAGTTTGTATTTTCCAAATCATACATGTGAGTTAACTCACATAATAAAGGCTGCCAGCATTACAGATTGCCTGTGTTTATTAATTGGTCCTCATAGACAAAATAGGAAAATAGCATGATCTCACTTGTGAAATATGATTGATTGATGATTCCATCCTTCGTAGCTGGGATGCCTGGATATCCAGCATCTGCAGGACATTGTTGGCCAGGGTATTTATCAGATAGGCAACACTTGCTAAGGACTGGGTGGTGTAGGCTTTGGTTTCTTCTAGGGCTCGCTGCTTATCTGCTGACTAGGAAGAAAAAAAAATCATTAATTCAAAGATAACTCATTCTATCAAAGTCTAATCTACAAAGATACTCATCAAAACCATTCTGTTGCTGAATCTACACACATTAAGTAAAAATGTTCTGAAAACTAATTATGTAAACCCAACAACTGAGTTTGCTAATACTTTCATGTTGAATAGATACATCTTTGTACAGATGCAAATAAAATCCTGAAGCCATTATTTAAAAAATGAGATCCAATGGGTATTTTGAGCAACTGCAGCAAGTACAAAGATTCTCAATGTCATTGTTTGGAAAGTTGGCATTGACTTGAATGTACAAATTCTGACCTATTTTTTTCTACTTTCCTGAATTCCTCCTTTCCTTCCATTTTAACATGTGAGAAGATAACGTGGCTATAACGTAACATCTGATTAAAGTAATTGTAATATGATAATAATGATAAATAAAAATGGTAATTATGATAAAATAATGAAAGGATCCTTTCTTCCCAAGCATTTTAAGTGTTACAACCTTAAAGGACATAAATTGCCAAGTATCATAAACTCTACTTGAAAAACAGTACATAGTAAAAACTGATTATTTCCAAAGTCACAATGAAAAACAATGGTAAAGAGACCCATGCTATGCTGCTGCCAAACACCATCTTCTTGCCCTAGTTCTGTAGAAAGACTTCATGGTTCAGTATAAAGTACACACGCCTCTGAACAGAAACCTTTTATCTTAATGTCAGTTCTACTATTTACTACAACATGTCAACTTAGACAAGAGTCGGTTTCTTAATTTCCACAATTACAAAGCAGAGGAAATGAACCTCTGTATCAACCATTCTAAGGAGCTGTGAACTTCAAATAAGATAATGGATGTAAAACCACTTTCTAAAACAACAAATCATGATATCAGGCGTCCCCAACTCCCAGGCCGATGGGTACTGTTAGGAACCAGGCTGCACAGCAGGTGAGTGGCGGGCAAGCAAGTGAAGCTTCATCTGTATTTCAGCCGCTCCCCAGCATTAACATCACCGCGTCAGCTCCACCTCAGATCATCAGGCATTAGATTCTCATAGGAGCACTGGTCCCTGGTGCCAAAAAGGTTGGGGAGTGCTGTATATAACAACTGTCATTAACTCTCTGAATGGTCATTAACTGTTCAAAGTCCACTATGTCCCATTCTCCCGTCTCCCACATACTACAGGAGTCAGAATCAACAACCCTAGACAGGGTTCCAAAGAGTAGTGGTTAGTACATCTGCTTTACACGCAGAAGGTCCAGGGTTGGCGCCCCAGTGGAGCCACGGTCCATACCCCGGGTGTGCCAGGCCCCAGATGTGCACCCCAAGCATGTGGGAGAAGAAGCTCCACCTTCAAAGATCCAGAGATCCAGTTCTTAAGGGGAGATTTTCAGAGGAGGATTGCTCTAGCATCTGCTTTTTCCAGTGAACAGTGACTTTGGCATTCGGGCGGCAGTGGAACAACCCTAGACATAAATTTTTCCAGGGGAATAAAAATTCTTTTGAAGCAGCAGTTAACAAAATAATCAAATGACACCATTTTAACTTGAAAAGAGTTAAGAATCACTGTTAGCTTTTTATTTTTTCTTTTCTATTCTAATCTTTAGTAATCTCAGTCTTATGATGCTTGAATTAACAATGGAGTTGAAACCAAACTTGGTTAAAGATAAATACTTTTAAAAAACACCCTATAGACTTCCAGATTCTGGTTGTGCATGAAGGGAGCTTGGAAGTTGCCACTCCATCCTAAAAACAAAAAGCTAAACATACTGGAAAAATTAATAACTTTTCTTGAATTCACAGTAGGAAACAGTAAGTCATTAACACTTTTTAGACATTACTCTAAATCAGAGTATTTCTTATAGAAAATCATCCAAAATTAACACACTTAGATATAATTTTATTAATATGCTTCAAAAGATCAAGGGGATGGATATCTGGAGAGAGATAATTATTTTCAATGTATCCGTTTTTATAATGACAGCACTTGAGATTATTTGAATATTATTATTAATCACTTCATGTTATGCCTTTATTCCTAGTGTATATGTGAAATCATGTGGCTGACTGTTGCTACATCAAAGAAAATATATTAGGTGGGCTTCATGTAATACTTTTCCATGAAATATTAAGGACCCTATAATGTAAAATGTATAAAAGCAAATCTAAATGGAGATGCTATTTGTGGTTGACTTACAACACTGATGTAAGTCACCATAAAATAAGTGTTCTGGGTGTCATTCTTCATTAAAGTGAAACAGAGGAACACTCTGAATTTTATAAATAAATTGTTATACCAACTGCTTTTTAAGGAAAAAAGAAGCTGTCAATCCATTAAAATCCTGATGTAGCTTCATAACAGCAATAGTTATAAGTCAAAAATATTAGTTAATGTGGTTGAAAATAAGAAATCATCACAGATACCAGAGAAAAGTATAGCTAACTCTTCCCTAAAAAAGCATAAATTTATCGTAAAACTACATTCACTAAATAATCACAACCACAACTCTAAGATCATTATATTAAAAGAACAATACTTCTTGACTGCCTGTAATCTGTATTTTGACCAGGAAGCAAATAGTGAATTTCAAAATTTTTGTTTAGACTATGTGTGAACCTAATAAAATTAAATGGTTTTTAATGTGTTAGAAAGGAAAAAAAAACCCAACCCATTCTTGGATCCCTAAGAGAGGGGAAAACACACAGAGAGGTTTGCAAATGACACAATCATCTATGTAGAAAATCCAAAAGTAGTGACCAAAAAAAAATAAAACAGAATAAGTCGAATAAGAAATTACAGCAAAATTGCAAGATACAAAGTTAATATACAAAAGTCAATTGCCTTCCCATATATCTGCAATAAACAAGTAGAATTTGACACTAAAAATACACCACCATTTACATTAGCACCCCAAAATACAAAATGCTTACGTATAAATCTAACAAAATATGAACAAGATCTATATGAGGAACACTGTAAAACTGATGAACAAAATCAAGAACTAAATAAATAGAGACAGTCCATGTTGATGGAGAGGAACACTCAATATTGTCAACATGTCAAACCTTCTCAAATTGAAATAGATTCAATGCAATCTCAACCAAATCCCACCAAGTTATTTTGTGGATATCAACAAACTGATTCTGAAGTTTACAAGCAGAGGCAAAAGACCTAGAATAGCCAACACATTATTGAAGAACAACAGAGGTGGAAGACTAACACTACTTGTCTTCAAGACTCACTATAAAACTATAATAATGAAGACAGTGTGATACTGGTGAAAGAAGACTAAAAGGTCAATGGAACTGATTCAAGAGTCCAGAAATAGACCTACATAAAATAAAGTCAACTTATCTTTGACAAAAGAGCAAAGGCAAGGCTATGGAGCAAAGATAGCTTTTTTCCAACAAATGGTGCTAGAACAACTGGATATCCACATGCAAAACTATGAATCTAAACACAGTATGTTCTTCACAAATATGAACTCAAAATGGATCACAGACCTAAAAGGTAATTGCAAAACTATAAAACTCCCAGAATATAGGAGAAAACCTAGGTGACCTTGGGTATGACAATGACTTTTGAGATACAACAAAGTCATGATCCATGAAAAATAATCGATAAACTGGATTTCTTTAAAATTAAAAACTTCTGCTCTGCAAAAAGCAGTGTCAAGAGAAATGAGAAGACAAGCCACAGACTGGGAGAAAATATTTGCAAAAGACATATCTGATAAAGGACTGTTATCCAAAATATACAAAGAACTCTTAAAAGTCAACAATAAGAAAATAAACTAAAATACAGGCCAAAGACCATCACAGATACCTTAACAAAGAGGGTATACAGATGGCAAATAAGCATATGAAAAGATGCTCTACAACATATGTCATCAGGGAAATGCACATTAAAATGAGATACTACTACACACCTATTAGATTGGCCCAAATCCAGAACACTGACACCAAATGCTGGTGGGGATATGGAACAAAAGGAACTCTCATTCACTATTGGTGGGAATAAAAAAAATGGTATAGCAGCCACTTTGGAAGACAGTTTGGCAGTTTCCTACAAAACAAAATATATTCTTACCATATGATATAGCAATCATGCTCCTTAATATCTACCCAAGGGAATTGGAAATTTATGTCCACACAAAAACATATACATGGATGTTTATGACAGCTTTATTCATAACTGCCAAAACTTGGAAACAACCAAGATAGACTTCAGTAGGTGATGGGGTACATCATACAATGAAATACTAATCAGTACTAAAAAGAAATTAATTATAAGCCATGAAAAAACATGAAGGAATCTAAAATGCACATTACTAAGTGAAAGAAGCCAATCTTAAAAGGCTATCCATATTGTGTAGGTGCAACAATATGACATCATAGAAATGGCAAGCCCATGGAGATAATAAAAAGATCAGTGGTTCCCAGGGGTTGGTTGGGGAAAGGATGACTAGGTGGAGCACAGGGGATTTTTAGGGCAGTGAAAATACTCTGTATGATACCATAATGATGGACGCATGTCATTCCACATTTGTTAAAACTCATAGAATGTACACCACCGAGAGTGGACCTTAAACTATAGACTTTGAGTGATAATGATTTGTCAGTGTTTAGCAAGGTTTATCAATTGAACAAATATACTACTCTGATGAGAGATTTCTGATGAAATCTCTATACCTTCATCTTAATTTTTCTGTGAACCTAAAACTGTCCCCAAAAAATAGTTTAAAAAAAACCACCACCATACATGCTAGGATTCCATAACAGCTACTTTTATGACAATTTTCATTTTCACAACTACTAATGCAAACAAAAGATGTTAAAAATTACACTGCTATTAAAATTATGTATTTAAAAGTTACATATTTATATAAAATTGAAATTATGCTTATAAATTATACCATAAGCTGAAATTATAAGAATTTAACATGGATACCCTACAGTTGAAAGTAACAAAACTTCAATAAAAGTCTTCTCA